CAGGCCTGCTGCTTGACACCCCCCTCCCACACTGAACCCCTCATTTTTGGCCCCACCCCAGAGCCTCGGGGGCCCACAAAAATCCTTAGACTCTGGGGTGGGAGGGGAACGTCTGTCTCCTCCCTCAGGGGCTGCGTCCGTGAGGTGGCTTTGTTTTTTGCTTCTCCCTTTTGTGCAGCCCCCGACTGATTTTTCCCTGGGGGTCAGTGGCCCTCGACCCCAAAATGGTTCCCACCCCTGTTCTATGGCATCCTGTTTCCCCGTCCTGCTCAGATGTGCTGCTGGTGTTAAAAGCAGCACAGACTCCATCCAGCATCCGCTTGGAGGCCCTCAAGAGACGTGAGGTGGCTTTGTTTTTTGCTTCTCCCTTTTGTGCAGCCCCCGACTGATTTTTCCCTGGGGGTCAGTGGCCCTCGACCCCAAAATGGTTCCCACCCCTGTTCTATGGCATCCTGTTTCCCCGTCCTGCTCAGATGTGCTGCTGGTGTTAAAAGCAGCACAGACTCCATCCAGCATCCGCTTGGAGGCCCTCAAGAGACCTCTGCCCGTTACAAGACCGGGCGAGAGCCGCTCTGCTTTGTTTCCCTTCCCCGGGGAGCCTGCTGACGTCCTCTGGCAAACTTCTTACCACTTAGTAGCAATTTTAGTTCTTCCTCCGTGCCAGGGAATGCAGCATGTTCCAGAACGGCCTATTCTCCTGCAGGGAGAACCAGCCCTGGCGCAGAATTGTGGGGCTGACCGGTGGTTCCCCACTGGCAAATAGTTCCCCAAAGTTAAGGAACCAATAGAAATGGGGAGGGGCAGGAAAGTAGAGGAAGGGGGTGGCCCTGGAGGACCCCCCCACACCTTTAAGTGGCAGGTATTACTGTGTCTGGGGGGCAGCTGGCGTGGGGGGGAAGGCGGCTGCTGCCGAAGCACAGGGAGTTGGTTTGTCTAGTTCTCATCCATTTAAAAAGGAAAAAAACAGCACAGCCCACACTGACTGGCTAAGTTAGCAGGCAGCTGGTCTGGGTGTACCTAAAAGGGTGCACCTTGCTTCTCCCCCTCTCCGGGCGGCGGTGGGGTGATGTGTGTGAAAAAGGCCAATCTTGTCTTAATGCCGGTGTGGCTCTGCTGGAGGAGGGTGCAGAAGATCAAGAAGTCTGGGGCAGACCCTCGCTCCTAGAGGGGCTGGTTCTGTGGTCTCGAGAGACCTCCCGCTCTGGCACGGATCTCAAAGCACCTGGACTGCGAATGCCTCATGGCAGCGCTCTGGGGCCGGATGGGATCAACGCCTCCTGCTTTTTTGGGGGAAACTGAGGCACATAGCAACTGGCCTGAGGTCACATGCCGAGTTGGCCTACCGTTGTCTTGCTGGCAGGGGAGCTCACTGTTGAAACATGGAGGGTATTTGCACATTGGAGCTGGGGTGTAACTTCCAGGCGAGAGCTGTGAACGGGTCACCGGTTACGTGGCAAGCATCCCCCTTAACGTTTAACCGATTAAACGGGGTTTGACGTCCCTCTTCCAGAAGTTCCCCCAACTTCTAAAAATAGCAGCGTAGCCATGGCAGCAGGATGGGTCCTGTGTGGGGGGGCTACAACATCCTGCTCCTTGCGTTGCCACGGCGACCATGCTATATTTGGGGCCCTTGCTCTGAACAGGTTCCTCTGCCCGGCTGGCAATGCTTTTCCTGGAGCAGTGCAGCCGTAGCCTAAACGCCGCTCCCATGTCTGAGGGATTCCCTGCGTGGTGGTGTTCCTTGCTGCTACCTGCCCTTAGCGTGAGGACGCTAGCAATACAGGCATGGTCCGTGCCTCCACCCGCCTCCTCTCTCCTGCACCTTCAGGCTACGTGGATCCATCTTTGCAAAGAGAAGTCTCGGAGGGGTCGCCGTGTGATTCTGTAGCTGCGAAGGAACAACGAGGAGTCCTGTAGCACCTTAGAGACCAACAGATTTATTGGGGCATCCGCTTTCGTGGGCAAAACCCACTTACGCATCTACTAAAATCGTACCACACGGGCTGGAGTCGAAACGTCACAGGCCACCGTTACATAAGAACGGCTGCACTGGGTCAGACCAAAGGTCCATCTAGACCAGTAGCCTGTCTGCGACAGCGGACAGCACCACGTACCCCAGAGGGGATGGACCGAAGAAAATGACCAAGCCATTTGTCTCATGCCATCCATCTCCAGCCTTCTACAAACAGAGACCAGGGACACCATTCCTGCCCCCTTGCTAATAGCACTCCATGGATCCAACCTCCATGGCTATGTCTAGACTGGCATGATTTTCTGCAAATGCTTTTAATGGAAAAAAATTTCCTTTAAAAGTATTTACAGAAAAGAGCATCGACCTGATAACTTCATTTGGTGACCCCCTAGTTCTTATATTGTGGGAACAAGTGAATAACTTTTCCTTGTTCACATTTTCCACATCAGTCATGACTTAATAGACTTCTGTCCTATCCTCTCCCGCCCCCCCCTTAGTCTCCTCTTTTCTAAGCTGAAAAGTCCCAGTCTTTTTCATCTCTCTTCCTATGGGACCCGTTCCAAACCCCTCACTTTGTTGCCCTTCTCTGAACCTTTTCTAATGCCAAGAGATATGATTGTGTCATAAGAGCCAGATTGCCCCCCCCCGCCCCGCCCCCCCTGTGCAGCACAGCTGGGCCTGGCTCTTCTCTTCTATGGATGAAGCAAACCCATTGACCGGTTGGTTATTTCCTAGGTGAGAGATACCAGGGTGTCCCCATCGCAGCCCCAGATGAATCCGTTTTTGGGCCGCTCTTCTGCCGTGTGTTCTAGGGATGTCCAATCCTGTTTAATCAGTTAACAGTTCAATGTAATGCTTAAATGGGGCAGGAGGAGGCTGGCCAGGTTGGAGAGGCCCCCCCATCATGGGTGGAGGCTGCTCTTGTGGGGCTGGAGGCCCCCCCCCCCCCCCTTTTGTTTCTTGCCAGTCTGAGGGGGATGTTAATCAGCCCCTCGAATCTTCAGATGTTAATTTCCAGTCTGGGTACAAAACTCCTTCAATATTGCCCTTGCCTCCACTGTGCTGGGGTTCTGCTCAGCGGGGTGCTGTTGGCTGAGACCCCATCCGCCTGCCCTAGGGAATTGCTAAGCCTAGAATTCGCCCGGGGATCCCTGTAAAACTACCTGTCCCCTTTGCCCTCTGACATGGGCTGCCGGGCACTGTCTGGGTCACACGTGGGAAACGCTCCTTAGGAAATGCCTGCGAGTGAGCGACCCTGCCTGATTTCAGCCCTGGGAGGCAGGATGAAAACGATTACAGGGGCACGTCCCGGCTGGCCTGGTGCAAACGAGCTATTAAAAGAAATAGGGAAGATGGGAGTTAACCCAACCTAGGAGCAAGCCTCACAGGCAGCCTAGTTGTGTGGCCACCAATCTGGCTGCCAGCCAGAGATCTGACCCCACTGCCCACCCACCCACAACTTAGTTTTGGACACAGCTGGCTCTGGCCCTGATCTCACCCCTGGGGAATGTCTCTCTCTCTCCCTGTTTCCTGGCCAGGTACCATCACGTTCCTGGGGCTGTACCTCATGTTCGGATATGGCGCCTCGCTGCTCTGCAACCTCATTGGCTTTGTCTACCCAGCCTACATCTCGTAAGTGCTCCCCGTCTCCGCTCTGCCTAGCCTCGCTGCAGGCCCCAGGCCGTACCGGGGGCAGGTGCTAGTTTTCCCATTGAGAGCTTCTCTCCGGGGCGAGGGGGCCGGCAGAAAGCAAAATGTTTGGCTCAGCTCCAAAACTGATGGGCTGAGTGGCCGAAATGCGATGAAAGGCCTAGAAACCATGAGCTAGGAGGGAAGGCTGAAAGAATTGGGCTCGTCTGGTTTAGAAAAGAGAAGACTGAGAGGGAACAGGAGAGCGGCTGTCAAGTATCTAAAGGGTGTCACAAGGAGGAGGGAGACAAATTGTTCTCCTTGGCCTCTGAGGACAGGACAAGAAGCAAGGGGCTTAAACTGCAGCAAGGGAGGTTTAGGTTGGACATTACGAAAAAAAACTGTCAGGGTGGTGAAACACTGGAATAAATTGCCCAGGGAGATTGTGGAATCTCCATCCCTGGAGAGATTCAAGAACAGGTTAGACAGACGTCTGTCAGGGATAGCGATCGAGATGTAGCCGTGTTAGTCTGGTCTAGCTGAAACAAACGACAGGCCTATGCAGCACTTGAAAGACTCATAAGATGGTTTATTAGGTGATGAGCTTTAGGTGACCTAATAAACCATCTTGTGAGTCTTTCAAGTGCTGCATAGTCCTGTCTATCAGGGACGGTCTAGATCCGTGTTTCTTAAACTCTGTTCCGCGAACACCTTGCAGGTGTGCTGCAGCCTCTGACGACAATTTTTTTTGAAGAAAATGTTCATAGGTGTTCCGCATTAAAAAAAAATATTTTTTGGTGTTCCGTGGTCTAAAAAGTTTAAGCAACACGGGTCTAGAGAGTGCTTGGTCCTGTCGTGAGGGCAGGGGACTGGACTTGGGGACCTTGAGAGATCCTCTCTTTTAATAGGAACTAGTGTTAATGCTGCTGTTGGGGCCGGTGTGTGTTGGTGTCCCCTATGAAATGCTAAAACGATCAGTATTTCCTACGTGACAGGCAGATACCAAATACTATCGTCCAAGGGGAACATCCCGCAATGATATTGGAGTCCCAAGTTTAGTCTCCATTCCACCTGTTGTTTTACCAAGAGAGTAAAATAACCACTCTGGTTTTTTGGGGGGGCGGGGGGGAGCTCCCTTAAAGTGGTGTGTGTTCAGGTGAATGCCCAGCAAAGCCTCTAGTAGGCACCCCAAACTAACCTCCCCCCCCCCAACTCGGACGTGCTCGTCTTTAACAGTGTAGAAGGTAGAACTGATCCGTGCCTTTGTCCGTAGCATCAAAGCCATTGAAAGCTCCAACAAGGATGACGACACTACTTGGCTCACGTACTGGGTGGTCTATGGAGTCTTCAGCGTGGCCGAGTTTTTCTCCGACACCTTCCTCTACTGGTTCCCATTTTACTACGCTGGAAAGGTAATGCGGTGGGCAGCCCCCCCGGATCGGTTACTGCCCTGTTTCTCCCTCCCGGATCTGGCTTGAGATGGGGAGAAAGCCCTGGGTGAATGTGGAGTCAGTCCGCTCCATAGCACTACAGGCATGGGCCAAACCGCTCTCTGGGGTAACTCCAAGTCAGTCCCAGGGATGACTCCAGCCTTGTGTTTCTACCCATTGGGGTGTCAAGAACATAGCTGATGTGTCTAGGCAGTGGGTCCAGCTCAGAGCTCACTGCAGTTGGCAGGGACTCCCACTAAGTTGAATGAGGTTTTAGACATCCATGGAAGTCCACCAGTGTTCCCTGTAAGCTGAGCGCTTGGGCGGCCACCCGGGAGAGATTCAGATGCCACCCAGCTGATTAGCAGAGTGCCCACCACCAGCAGTGTGTGTTTCGATGGGCGGTGCACCTCCACACCTGCCTCGGTGCACAGAACAAAATTCATTCCGCACACAGATGGAAGACGTTACAGTGGTTCCCAAACTTTTCGGCATCATGCCCCTTTTTGATTTTTGCTGTTCAGAGCTGAGCCCCGCTGGGGTAAAACTCGCTGGCTCTTTGTGGACATCATTCTTCTTTTTAATTTTTGCTGTTCAGAGCTGAGCCCCACTGGGGTAAAACTCGCTGGCTCTTTGTGGACATCATTCTTCACCTACGTGGGCCTGAGCCCAGCTAAACTGACCCTCGTGGGACCAGACCCCGAACTAAAAGGCACTTTCCCCTCCTTGCCAGGCGCCTCCCTGGCGTCCCCCCATGGCCAATTCCGTCCTTGAAAGCTGAGCCTGGTTTGGGAGGCTTTGTCTCCCCCCTCCCCCTCTGGCCTCTGCTGGGTGTGAAGCCTCTTCTCTCCTTCCAGTGCTTGTTCCTGGTCTGGTGCATGGCGCCTGTCCCCTGGAACGGCTCCCAGGTCTTGTACCGCAACGTCATCCGGCCCTGCTTCCTGAAGCACCACCGGACGGTGGACAGCGTGCTCAGTGACCTGAGCGGCAAGGCGCTCGACACCGCTTCGACCGTCACCAGAGAAGGTACCACGGCCTCGCCCCGCTCGGTTACCCCGTTGCTAGGGCGGGAGGACTTAAGCCACCGTTTGTGCTCCTTGTAGGCCGGGGCTGGACAGGGCTCTCGCTGGCTGGGGTGTAAGTTCGAACAGTCTTTATCATAGGCATTGCTTCCTATGTGTCCAGGCCTCCGTCCCAATCTCCCGGGCACTGGGAGCTGGGCCCCAGCCTGGGAGACTCTCAGAGCTGGGAGTGTTTTCAGGGGGCTGTTTGCCCCTGCGAGAGCAGCCTGGGTGACCCCGTGAATCAGAGCCCCGTTCAAGCCGAGACCGTCTGGTCGGTGCCGCTGCAAGAACGCGCCCTCTCTTCTTCACACCGCGCATAGTCGATCTGTGGAACTCCTTGCCTGAGGAGGCTGTGAAGGCTAGGACTATAACAGGGTTTAAAAGAGAACTAGATACGTTCATGGAGGGTAAGTCCATAAATGGCTCTTAGCCAGGATGGGTAGGAATGGTGTCCCTAGTCTCTGCTTGTCAGAGGATGGAGATGGATGGCAGGAGAGAGATGGCTTGATCATTACCTGTTCAGTTCACTCCCTCTGAGGCTCCTGGCATTGGCCACTGTGGGCAGACAGGACACTGGGCTGGATGGACCCTTGGTCTGACCCAGTTTGGCCGTTCTCTTGTTCTCTAACGCCGCGGCTCGGCGGAGCCTGGTCCCCTCTCCACAGCGATACGCGTCGGCTCCTTAAACCTTGCCTCTTCTCCTTTTTCTTGTGCCTCTCCGCCCAGTCCTTCATGCCCTGGCCGACAGCAGAGCCCGCCTGGTGTCCGAGGGGGCCCCAGCTCCGCTCGTCTGTATGTACTAATTCCTGTGTCCTTCACCCCTGGGGCAAAGACCTGTTTAGCGTGACTCCCCTGCCCTCCGCAGGTTGGTACGGGCTGGGTTTTAAAGGCAGCCAGTTCACATCTTGGTGCTGCCTCCGTTCAACCACCATGGCTGTTACGAACCCTAAACCCCTCCCTGGGGTAGGGTGAGCTCCAAAGAGCAGCAAGCTTGTGACCTTCGATGACAGCCCTGGGCATGATGGGTAATTGAGGCAGATTTGCATGACATTGGAGAGACCGGACCCCGCCCGGAAGTCCATGAGGGGGCTGTGCTATTTGGCTTGAAAACCTCTGGGGTTTCTTGATGAAGCTGGTGATGCTGGAGAGAAGTCTCCTCCCGGGGAGTCACGCTAAACTCCTTCTCCTTCTTCCTTCCCTTGTGGGGAACAGTCTGTCTGTCTGCTAGATTTCAGCACCTCCAGTAGCACACCCGCAGCAGCCTAAAACGGTGCCGTCGTCTGTCTTCCCTTCGTTGTTCCTGGGGGGTTTCTGTCCGTTCGGACACGCCGTGGTGGTGGAGGGTTTTGGGGATGGGTCGGTGGCTCCATTCCCTGGTAGCACATACTCCAGACCTGAAGGCATTTCTGCTGTTAGCACCAGTTAAACCTCCCGAATCTGGGACTCTCTGGTCCAGCAACATCCGTGGTCCGGTTGATTCACAGATGTTGCTGGACCAGGATGTTGCTGGACCAAAGAGCCTGGAGGCCGGGAGCGGGAGTCATTCTCTCCTGTGGGACCAGCAGGAGCTGGGCTGGGGGGCTCCCTGGAGGCATTTGGGCCGGCCTGGGAAATCCCGGGAACCCCCCCAGTGGGAGCGTTGACCGGGCAGGGCGCCGCAGGGAGAGGGCC